CTGATACGTAAAACCATAGAACTCAAAGAGGGTGTACTTTCTTTTTCACATGACTATATGTATAAATAAAGAAAAATATTTACCATACACAAAGCCAAGTAATGGCCAATGGAATTGAGAATGTTGAAACAAATACATTATTTTAGGATGTATAGTTACTCTGACTACAACTCTTCTACTGACCAGTGATAATGAAAGCTATCACCATGGCTTAAATTTGTTTTAATCTGGTGCAGAAGAGGTCAACATTTATTAAATGTTGAGTTAGTTTTTAATCTTTTAAGCCTTTATAATAATTACTTCTGAATATTTAAATCCCCTTGGACTAGCATGAAACCCTATATGTTATTGAAATTGTTTCTGTGCCACTAATTAACATAGCAGAAATTTTATCAAAGCTCGTAACCTGCTACTGCAGGAATTTATTGACATTGCAGATGAGTTATAACTCTGTTTAACTGCCTAAGAAAAATAAGCATGTCATTTGCGAACGTATTAATTACATAATGTTCTGGTTCTATATTAAGCTCTTGAAAGTTCTTATTCTTCCTATATTCTGAGCTAAAGTCTGTAATAAGGTCCAGCAAAATAGGTTAGGGTGGATATCTTTGTATCATTCCCTTATTTTGATGAAAAACATATGTAACTAATATGCAGATGCTAATTATTGCTAATTGCTGCTGGTTACTGCTGATGCTCAAATTCCATTTCCAATAATAATTTTAAAAGAAATTTACTTTTATTTTTCATGTTATGGTGTATGTGGTTTCACTTGGTTTTTTATTTCTTATTCTTTATTTTGCTGATCTTACATATCACTAGAAGTTGTGACATTTTGCCAATACATAAATTCAAGAAATAATGAAATAATATAAAGAAAGGTTTTTCACTATATCCTGGAGATATTGAAGGGAATATGAGTTTTGGAATGCAACTAATAAAAGCTATTGATAGAAGAAAAAGGCATCTTTAATTTTTCCTCCCACTTTTATATGACCCTGCTTTCCAAAATCAACAGACCCTGCAAAATAAATATGCCTTTAATGCCCAGTTTCTACAAATTTGAATTGGCCTCTGTTGTTTGATTCAATAACTTTTTCATTAATTTACTGCTTATTAAATATTATAGCCCTTGTATATGATCCAAAGAGCTGGTACTGGCATGCCTAACACCTGAGTATCCCTGGTATACCCATTAATATTTAGTTTGAAAACTGTCTCATCCTGCAAAGTGATGCACCATGTAGATTGAGGGTATTCTTATATTCAAGGAATACAAATGAGGAACCTTTTGTGCATGTGAAGTAGTCTAGCTCTTTAATTTTAGCCCTGATTGTTTTAATTGTTGAAGTAGGGGACATGAAGCTATATGAGACTAAGTTTGTTCATTGTTTTCCCCCAGGTTGATCCAAGAGCCATATCAGTCCTAGCAAAATGGCAGAATTCTCATAGTATCAAAGTTGTTCTGCAAGAGCTCCGGCGTCTAATGATGTCTAAAGAAAATATGAAACTTCCTCAACCACCTGAAGGACAATGTTACAGTAATTAATGAAAAAAAAAATCATGCCCCATCATTCAATTTAAGCTCTCTTCATTTTCCACAGTAGTAAATTTTCTAGATGCATCTTGTAGATCTCCAAGTACTGGAAAGGAAGTTCCCATTGCAAAGAAAAGTCTATCTTGAGATACTGTAAATGATACTAATTTTTTTCCATTTGAAAATAAGTTGTGCTATAACAAATAATGCTGTCCTGTGTAACCACTGTCCACATAGTTGAACTTCTGGTATCAAGAAAAGTCTATTTAAATTTATTACTGTCAAAGACCAGTGTGTCACGTTGAACTCAACTGTGAAAAAGCATAAAAAGCATACATCACACAATCACATTGCTGTGTGTTTGGCCTGGGTTTATATCTTTTCTCCCGTCTCTCTCTTTCTCTTTCTCTCTGTGTGTTTGCAATAGAGTTGATGCTCAGGGCTATTTATTAGAGTAGACAAGGAAGGCACAATCTGCAGATCATGATCTTGCCCAAGCCCTTTTGAAAAGAACAGAGTCTGAGCCAGAATATCCTTGTACTCTTACACAGTTCTCTTTTAATCCAAGAGGGCTTGCTCAAGACCAGTGTTTCTCAACCTTGGCAACTTTAAGTTGTGTGGACTTGAAGTCCATACACCTTAAAGTTGCCAAGGTTGAGGAACAGTGCTCAAGACAACGTCCCCTAAAGATTGTGCCAAAAGGTTTCAATTACCAGCTGTGGCTGGGTTGTATGGACTACTAATGGGATGTTTTGGTATCCTCAGTCATCCCTCCCTTTGTGCAGGCTCTAGTAAAATGCTGAATGTCTCTAGGGTTGGTTTTTATTTTTCTGCTTTTAAAGAATGCTTATATAGCCATTTGGGGCAGGTTCTTCTTTCACCCAAAACCTTTGCTAAGGCATAGATTGTATTTCTGTCCCATCTCTTCCCCCAGAATGTGGGCCTTGGGATGATAGACCTGGGGGATCTTTTCGGACTTTCCTCTCTCTCTCTTGTCATAGTTGGGGTGCTGCTTTCTTTTTGCCCCTTCTACGATGCTTTCCTTTATACTTGGCCAAAAGAGGTAAGTGGCTGGCAAACTGCCTGATTTTATTGTTGTTATTGTTATTATTATTGTTATTATTATTATTATTATTATTGCTTCATGCTTGTCAATTTTGGGGTGGGGCATGGATAGGGTCTATAAATTAATCTTCACCAGCTGAGAAAATAAGAATGTCTGGTTTTGCTCGCAAATAGCCTCCCCTTCCTGTTCTCTGGCAGCTTCCGCACTGGCAAGCTGGCCATGGCTGACGTATGAGGCAGGGTTTTGATACGGTGAAAAGAGCGGTAATTTACCAGGAGCATTTAAGTCTGTTAAGAATGGCCAGATATTCTGGAAAGATCTCTACGTAGATGTTTGAAACAAACCCTCCAGCTTTCTGAGCTGAAGGTTACTACCTCTGCTTGAATGCCTTGTTACCTGCTCATCAGCGTGCATAACTTCGTGGCCCTGTAGCAGCCTGCCGACATAAAGACAAATCCGCTTTGTGAAGAGGAGATTGTGTTCTGACACCTTGCAGAGAGGGAGGTGCTTTTCTTTCCTAAAGAATCAGATGGTGCTGCCGTGCATGGTGGGTTAGGCTTCTTGGCAAATCACTTCTTTTTCAGACTCCTTGTTTTGGACCACTGACTGCTGAAACGTGGATGCAAGCTTAAATGCAAACAATCTAATGTATCCTCTTTAAGTTTTATGAAATTAAAAATGCAGTGTTCATGTAAAACAAAAAGCAGAAGTCACGTTTAAAAGCAGAAGTATCAAGTCAATGAATAATTGATGTTTCCATTAACTCTTTTAAGGAGCATATTAGTTGTAAGGATTTAACATCCTCTGTAATTAAAAAAAAATTAACAGTATTCCATAAGCAGCCTTTTTATTGTATCAGACCATTGCCTGATTTTAATATAATAAAAAGTGTGCATTAATATTACTGTGCTGTAATTGTATTTGTTTAGAGTGGAGATCTCCAGAGAGTTGGGGCAGAGAGGAAGACACAGTGTGAATGTCTCATTGAAATAATTACCAGGATCTCTAGAGGACACTAGTAGTGCGTAGGCAACTTTCATGGATGTCACTGGAAGTCACCCTATTCCTTTTGATTTATTATTGCTGCTATTAAATGTGATATTGCTACAGAGTTCAGAAAATATTTTGATACTGTGATCTGTTATTTAAGTGTAATTTGGGAATGTTCTGTAAACCTTTGGAACTGGGACTATCGTAGACCTACATGAAGTTTCCAATTTGACTTGACAAGGCGTTTTGCATCACAGATGACACCGTTTTATCTCGGGACACTTTACAATACTCTCACTTAGGCACATTCAGTAATTGGAAGAGGCTTCTGTGCAAAACATGCTCAGAATCCTCTCTCAGCTGCTGGCTCTGCCAGAATAGACACCAGAGTGATGTATAGCTCTTTGCTGTATAGAAGAGATGGGCAAAGGGGGTACTTCACCTGAGATATTGAAGCAAAACAGTCCTTAGAATCTTTACATGGCTCTAAAACATCGTTCTTTATGGCGCATTTTCCAACTCATTACAAGTGTGAAAAAAAATGGTCCAAGAAACTTGCAACCACATGATTGAATCAAAACAAAACCACTCCCATAATTAACAGTCTGCCAGTGATTAATGCCATATACACATTTGCTATAGGTATTTTATTCCAAATATGAACTCTTGGGATAGGCCTCTGCCAGTAAATCCATCTAGGACATTTACTTTAATTAGTTGCCAGTTTTACATATCAAGCAGTAGAAATAGTGTCCTAGATATATATATATACACACACACATACATACATACACATATGTACCAGTGTCTGAAATAAGAATTGAGAAAAGTTGCTCACAGAAACTTTAAAATGTAGTTTTGTTTGGAGGACTATAGTAGTTTTAACCTAGCTGATGTGGCCTGGACATGACACTGCAGTTTGCGTTGCATGCTGTCCAAAAGGAGCCATGCTGAGCTGTGTGAAGCCCTGGAAATCCTATTTCAAGAGTTTGGGGCATCTGCAATGGAAGGTGTGTGACAAAAAGTCGAGGCCACAACTGTGATTGAAGCCCAACGGTAATTGGGACCAGGAACTCCATCACTAAGCAATGCGGTCATAAAGCATGACATCACATGACCATGCCTATTTACAAGGCAGTTCCAGCAGTCCCAGTTGTCATTGTTAGGCAAATCCAGTGTGGTTGTAGCATCTCGCTGTCATGTGACTGCCATTTGTGACCACCTGCCAGCTTTCCCATTGACTTTGCTTGTCAGAATCCAGCAGTGAAGGTTGCAAGTGGCGATCACTTGACCACAGGACACTGCCACCATTGTAATTGCAAGCTGGTTGCCAAGCACCCAAATTGTGACCATGAGGACACTGCAATGGCTGGAACTACGAGGAATGGTTATAAGTCCCCTCATTCAGCGCTGTCATAACTTCAAATGGTTGCTGAACGAGGACTACCTGTGTCAGATGTGCTGCCATCTTGACTCTCCACTCCTGGAAGCCCCTGCAGGAGCCCTCTTGGATACAAGAGATGAACAAGTTTCTGTTCCATGTTTTTTCAAGCATGATCATCTGTGCCTTTTCACAGCACAGCTTAAGAAAAAAAAATACAGTGTAAGTAACCCATAACCCAACTAACATAAAAGGCTGTACATATGTAGGCTCATCCCAAACAGGGAAGATTATGCAAATTTCCTTGATATGCTTACAAAACCAACCCAAATATATTACTGGTACTGTAGTATAACAGCATTAGTAATTTATTGGAATATGCTAAAAATATTTTTATCATTGGAATGCAAGAAGAAATTTGATTGTGGCAGTTATTTCCCATTTACCGTAGCAGTTATAACTAGGAAATACATTCAATTTGATAAATGTTCTTGATCTTGGTTTCAATGGCACTGGTCTGGTAGCATTTAATGTAAATACAGGCTGGAGAAACCTGTAATTTCTAAAACTTGCCAGGAGAGGGTAGTAGCAAACTTTCCAGCAAAACCCTGCAAAGATCACTGTGTATTGTCACTGTTACATTTTTCTGTTTTAATAAGCAATTCAGTAAGTTCAATGCCACTTTTAAGCAGAAGAATTTGAATCCCCACCCAACAATTTTCTTTCAACTTTTGGTATTGTTTTTCCACTCTTTCCAGATGACTTGGAAGGCCTTTGTCTCATGCAAAGTATCTGTTACTGCTTTGGGCAACACAAGTCAAAATAGCCACAATTGTGCTGCTTGCTAGGCCTGTGCAAGTCACTTTGGACTCACTTGACAAAGAGCTTTGCGATATGATTGTCTTTCTTCAGGCACTGCAATTTGACTCATCCAGCACCTTATGTTGCTTTGCTTGGCTCCATCAGCGTTTGCCAAAGCCAGTAGGGCAGCAAAGCCTTTCTGAAATCCTCTGCCAGCTCTTGCAAATGCTGGATGAAATGAAGCAACAAGGCGACACTGGTCTGGTGAGGGAGTTGTGCTGTTTTGCAAAGCTTCGGGAGCATGCTTCACTCTGGCTTTCACTCTGTTAGCTGTACAACCTTGTCCCTGTCACAGCCTAGCCATGATTAGTTTGCCTGAGATGATTTGCCTGGGGTTTGGATATGGATTTCTAGAATGGATAACTTCTAGAAATGTTGCAGTGTAACTCCTATTCTCTCCAGCTAATAGGTATATATTTTTGACTTGAAAATGGTCGAAAATTAAAATTCAGAAGTAAAAAAAAGGGGGGGGGCTGATGCCTTGGGAGGTCAAGTTTCCCAGCGCTGATCTACATAAATTCTGATCATCTTGAAAAGCAGCCCCTTCCTAGAAATGCCCATTCTTACATTCCTGGTCCAAGGAAGGAATTTAATGGCAATCTCAGTGGCACTTTTGGTGCTCTTTCATGGCAATGCTACTTTGGTATTCATCGTGACCATGATGATTGTTTTGGGATTTTCTGACTAATAGTGACAATTTTTTTAAAAAAGTGCGTACACTAGTGTACAAATACAAGAAATACCACAACAAATTTGGCCACCTGCGACACCGGGTCCACTTGAAGGCCTGTGATAAATGGCGAAAAGAACATACCCTCCTGCCACTATTCAGTCAGCAAAGAGCTTGACCAAGTCACAAGGACACTTTTACAAACCAGTTGTAAGCTGAGGGAGGAAAAGGTTGCTGGCATTTGTTTATAAAATGAAATTGCTGTTATTATCTGCTGGAGACCTCTGGGCCTAGAATTTCCTCTGGAGATGTTTGATTAAAGCAGCGTATGTCTGTCTCTTGCTTCCACGCCGGATACTGAATAATGCAGCATGATCTCTGCACTGAATTGTCAGAGAGATCCAGGTGTTGGCCCATCTCCTGCAGTGAATTCCTCACCTTCTAAAGACAATCTCTGGAAAAGCAAACTCCTAAACCCATCAACAGTTCTGAGCAGGAGGCATTACCATTGTGAAGAAGAAAAAACACATCTTCTCCCCGGCTCCTTTGAAAATGTGTGGATTCAGCAGACTCGGTCAATGATGCTGCCCTAACTAATACACCTGAATGCTGTAAATTATATCATTGCTTTTATTTCTTATTTTTCTTTAATCTGCATAATCTCTGGATTGGAAGATTGGCACAGTTATGCTATTCATTCATGCCAAGACATGAAGCTATGGGAAGTGAGGGTACTGATGAGGTTGGAGATTTTACACTTTAATCTACTCAACAGATTTATTATATGTGTATGTGCACTTTTTTTCCCTGACTGAGCTTATATGTTTTGTTCTTTAAAAAAGAGACATAAAAT